GAGGATTGTTGGTTAAATGGTTACAGACTCCTGGTTTAGAGGATTGTTGGTTAAATGGTTACAGACTCCTGGTTTAGAAGATTGCTGGTTAAATGGTTGTAGACTCCTGGCTTAGAAGATTGTTGGTTAAATGGTTGTAGACTCCTGGTTTAGAAGATTGTTGGTTAAATGGTTACAGACTCCTGGTTTAGAAGATTGTTGGTTAAATGGTTGTAGACTCCTGGTTTAGAAGATTGTTGTTTAAATGGTTGTAGACTCCTGGTTTAGAGGATTGTTGGTTAAATGGTTACAGACTCCTGGTTTAGAGGATTGTTGGTTAAATGGTCACAGACTCCTGGTTTAGAGGATTGTTGGTGAAATGGTTGTAGACTCTTGGTTAGAGGATTGTTGGTTAAATGGTTGTAGACTCCTGGTTAGAGGATTGTTGGTGAAATGGTTGTAGACTCCTGGTTAGAGGATTGTTGGTTAAATGGTTGAAGATTCCTGTCTCAGGGGGACATGAGGCAGGATCTTTGAAACGGGGAGTCAGGAGTGAGAAACCAACGTTTGTGAGGAGGAGTGAGCTGTTTCTGTAATCCGTGATGTCCCGTCATCATCATCCTGTTTGGTTGCCTACTCAGTATGCATGTTACTCAGCTGAGAACAGTACAAACACCGAGGTGTGAGGAACGTGGGACTGCGCGGAGATCTGAGAACTGTCTCACGGAGCGCAGAGGATCAGGATCAGAAGATCGGGGAGGTTTGATGAATGAATGCAGACCGTGGATTTTGTCAGAGCAAAGGGGGAAGAAGGGGGGAATCCTCTGGATCCCACAGTCATTAAAATCCACAGCTTGTCTCCCGGCAGCACCTGGCAGGCAGAGAGAAACTTGACGCCTGGCTGCTGCTGACCTGAGACAGGAAAACCTCTGTGCTGGCCCGTGGATCCTGCTGATAATCTCACTGGATAAAAGAGGAGCAGCAGCCTAGTCCAGGTTTTCATTTGGTTCTTTACTTCGTTAACCCCTGTGTCCTGAACTTGTGTGTTTCTGTCAGACCTCCATGTGGAGCCCCACCTCAGCTCCTCCCTGTCCTCCCAGGAACWGATGACCAGACTATGTTTCTTACTGGGAGAAGCAACATCAAGCTCCGCTAGCTCTCCTATGGAGGACCGCAGGGAAAAGAAGGTGGGACGTAGATCTGATGACATCTCTCTGCTGTCATTAGATAGAAAATAAATGATGATTTGTTGTTTTTATCATTGAACATAATTTTRTTTCTCATTTCCATTTTAAGCACTTTGTTTGACCACTGATCACGGTCACAGAATGCTGAGTCAGTATATTGTTGCCTGTTTGTTGTGTCTTTGGTACATTTTGTGGTTCATCTGATCAGGACACCTCCCTTTGGAGGTTTTCATTTCCCACTGAGAAGACATGCTGGGAATATGAAGCTAAACTG